TTTTTTATTTTTTCTTTTTTTTTTGTTTTTTCAATTAAGATATATGCGAGTTTTCTTTTTAAAATTTTTTAGTTTTTCAATTTTTTCCTATTTTCGAATTTTTCAATTTTTCTAGTTATCATTCTTCAAATATTTGATTTTAAAACTTTCATTTATATTTTTTTGATTTTTCAGTTTTTGCATTTTTAATTTTACAATTTTTTAATCTGTAAATGTTAAGTTTTTTGATTTTACAGTTTTGACGATTCTATAATTTTTTCGGATTTTTCAGTTTTTGGATTTCCAATTTTTCTGTTTATTCAATTTTTCGATTCGTTTTATTTTCTTAATTTGTTCAATTTTTAATTTTTTCGATTTGCAATGTTTGGACTCGGTTTTTATTTTCTCTACTTTTTCAGTCATAATTTTTTTTGGTTTTTAAGTGAATTTTTCAATTTTTAATCTTTTTTATTTCTTCAGTTTTTGGATTTGCAACTTTTTGAGATTTTTGAAGTTACACTGTTAGTTTTTCAATTTTCCAGCGTCCGAATTTTTCAGTTTTTCGATTTGAGTTTTCTTAATTTTTTAGTTTTTCGATTTCATATTTTCTAGTTTTTTACTTGAATTTTTCAATTTTTCATTTTTTTTTGTTTTTTAAGTTTTTCGATTTCCAATTTTTCGAGTTTTTAGTCATTTTCTAATTTTCCAACTGGATTTTTTAAATTTTTAGATTGTGCAATTTTTCGATTCGGTTTTTTATTTTCTGTTTTTTCAGTTTTGCGATGTTATATTTTTTGTTTTTTCAATATTTCGCTTCTTCAATTTTTCTAATTTTTTCATTTTCTTGAATTTTACTCTTGAATTTTCATTTCTTCGGAGTTTCGATTTTTCGACGTTCTGATTTTATTTTTCCTTTTTCAGTATGAAATCTATTTTTTTTTCGATTTTGGAGTTACTCGTTTTTTTTTGGCAATCAATTTTTCTTTCTTCATTTCTTCGAATTACAACTTCTTGATTTTCCAGTTCGATTTTTTAGTTTTTCGATTTCATATTTTTCAATTTTTATTTTTTTTTGTTTCTCAAGTTTTTCGATTTCCAATTTTTCGAGTTTTTAGTTAAAATTTTTCAGTTTTTTAATTTTCCAACTGGATTTTTTTAATTTTTAGATTTTGCAATTTTTTGATTGGGTTTTAATTTTCTGTTTTTTCAGTTTTGCGATTTTATATTTTTTGTTTTTTCAATTTTTCGCTTCTTCAATTTTTCTAATTTTTTCATTTCCTTTTCTTGAATTTTACTCTTGATTTTTCATTTCTTCAGAGTTTCGGTTTTTGGATGTTCTGATTTTATTTTTCCTTTTTCAGTATAAAATCTTTCATTTTTTGGCTTCTACAATTTTTCACTTTCGCGTTTTTCCTTTTTCCCATTTTTTAGAATTATGATTTTTTTCGATTTTGGAGTTGCTCGTTTTTGTTTTTTCAAAGCTTCAATTTTTCGTTTCTTCATTTCTTCGATTTACAACTTCTCGATTTTCCAGTTCGGTTTTTCGGATCTCGGACATTTTTTATTTTTTAGTTTTTGGATTTCTAATTTTTCTATTTAACTCAATTTTTCAATCCGTTTCATTTTGTTAGTTTTTTTAATTCTTCAATTTGTTTCTATTTTCGAATTTTTCAATATTTCAATTTTATAATTTTTTCATTTTCCAAATTTTTCGAATTTTCATTTTTAAATTTATCAGTTTTTCGATTTGCAATTTCAGGAGTTTTTAATTTTTCATTTTTCCAAATTACAATTTTTTGGTTTTCAATTTTTCGTTTCGGTATTTTGTTTTCTTTATTTTTTCAATTGTTCAGTTTTTCATGTTGTGTCTAGATCATTTTCCTTTTTTTTTAGTCACTACAAAATTTGTCAAGCTTTGGACTTTTTAGTTTTCCAATTTTCAATTTTAAATTTCCAAATTTCTCGATTTTTAAATTTTCTATTTCTTCAATATTTTTCATTTTTGAGTTTTTACATTTTTAATTTAACAATTTTTCAATTTTTTGATACAGTTTTTCGATTTTACAGTTTTGACGATTCTATAATTTTTTAATGTTTCAATTTTTCTTTTTCAGTTCTTCGATTTTAAATTTTTTCGGATTTTTCAGTTTTTCTGTTTATTCAATTTTGTTTTATTTTCTTAATTTGTTCTATTTTTAATTTTTTCGATTTTCAATTTTTGGGCTCGGTTTTTATTTTTTTTATTTTTTCAAAGTTATAATTTTTTAGTTTTTAAGTGAATTTTTCAATTTTTTATCTTTTTTATTTCTTCAGTTTTTGGATTTGCAATTTTTAGAGATTTTTGAAGTTTACATTTTTAGTTTTTCAATCTGAGTTTCCCAAGTTTCGATTCTTAATTTTTCATTTTTTTTTGTTTCTCAAGTTTTTCGATTTCCAATTTTTCGAGTTTTTAGTTTAAATTTTTCAGTGTTTTAATTTCCAACTGGATTTTTTTAATTATTAGATTTTGCAATTTTATATTTTTTATTTTTTCAATTTGTCGCTTCTTCAATTTTTCTAATTTTTTCATTTCCTTTTCTTGAATTTTACTCTTGATTTTTCATTTCTTCAGTTTCGATTTTGCGATGTTCTGATTTTATTTTTCCTTTTTCAATATGAATTCTTTCAATTTTTTAATTTATAATTTTTTTCGATTTTGGAGTTACTGGTTTTTTTTTTGCAATGTTTCAGTTTTTCGTTTCTTCATTTCTTCGATTTGCAACTTCTTGATTTTTCCGTTCGTTTTTTCAGTTTTTAGAATTTCCAATTTATCTAAATTTTCAATTCATTTTGTTTTCTTAATGTTTTTAATTTTTTTGTTTTTTCACTTAAGATATGCAACGCTACGAGTTTTCATTTTTAAAATTTTTAGTTTTTTAATTTTTTCCTATTTTCGAATTTTTCAATTTTTCGTTTCTTCAATATTTGATTTGCAATTTTTCTAGCTATCATTCTTCAAATATTGGATTTTAAAACTTTTTCATTTATATTTATTTGATTTTTCAGTTTTTGCATTTTTAATTTTACAATTTTTCAATTTTTTGATCTGTAAATGTTAAGTTTTTTGATTTTACAGTTTTGACGATTTAATAATTTTTCTTTTTTTCAGTTCTTCGATTTTCAATTTTTTCAGATTTTTTAGTTTTTGGATTTACAATTTTTCCGGATTTTTCAGTTTTTGTATTTCCAATTTTTCTGTTTATTCAATTTTTCGATTCGTTTTATTTTCTTAATTTGTTCTATTTTTAATTTTTTCGATTTGCAATTTTTGGACTCTGTTTTTATTTTCTTTATTTTTTCAGTCATCATTTTTTGGTTTTTAAGTGAATTTTTCAGTTTTTTATCTTTTTTATTTTTTGGATTTGCGATTTTTGAGATTTTTGAAGATTATATTTTTAGATTTGCAATTTTCCAACGTCAGAATTTTTCAGTTTTTTGAGTTGAGTTTTCGTAATTTTTCAATTTCATATTTTTTAATTTTTTACTTGAATTTTTCAATTTTTCATTTTTTTTTCTCAAGCTATTCGATTTCCAATTTTTCGAGTTTTTAGTTTAAATTTTTCAGTTTTTTAATTTTCCAACTGGATTTTTTTATATATGTAGATTTTGCAATTTTATCTTTTTTATTTTTTCAATTTGTCGCTTCTTCAATTTTTCTAATTTCTTTTCTTGAATTTACTCTTGTTTTTCATTTCTTTGGAGTTCCGATTTTTTGATGTTCTGATTTTATTTTTCCTTTTTCAGTATGAAATCTATTTTTTTTCGATTTTGTAGTTACTCGTTTCCAGTTCGATTTTTTAGTTTTTAGAATTTCCAATTTTTTCTAATCTTTCAATTCGTTGTTTTCTTAATTTTCTAAATTTTTCAATTTTTAGGTTTTGTCATTTTCCATTTCAGTTTCCCAAATTTTTAATTTTTCAATATTTCGATTTTATAATTTTTTCTATTAAAAATTGTTCGATTTACATCTTTCGTTTCGTTTGTTTTTTGGGTTTTTTCAATTTACAATTTTTGGTTATTTTTTCGGTTTTTCAACTTTTACATTTTTTAACTTTAGATTTTAAAGTTTCTCAATTTTTCGATTCGGATTTTTATTTTCTTGTATTTTTTCCACTGTAAAATGTTTCAATTTTTGGAGTTTTCAATTTTTCGTTTCTTTAAAATTTGGTTTGCAATTTTAAAACTTTTTCATTTATTATGTATTTGATTTTCCAGTTTTTGCATTTTTAATTTTACAATTTTTTGACTTTCCACTTTTTCGTTTGTTGTAAAAATTGTAAAATCCAAAAATTAAAAATGAAAAAGTATAAGACGAAAATTTTGAAAAATCTAAAAAGTGGAAATCAAGAACTTTGAAAAATTGAAGAACTGAAAAAATGAAAAATCGATTGATTTAAAAATTGAGAAATTTTAAAATCGAAAAAGTGCAAAATTGAAAAATCCAAAAACCCCAAATTGAATAAACGAAAAATTGTGATATAAAATCGAGAAAATCCCAAATTTTGGTTAAAATGGAGTGAGTCTTCTTGATTTAATCAATACAGTAAACATCCTCATTCATTAATTTTTTTGAGTCACCTGTATCAGTAATACTGAAAATAGCGTCATAATATTTTGGAGATGATTTATTAGGCTGACGTCATCAATTTTTTGGGAGGGGATAAACGAATAAAAAACGTATAAACATCTTCAACGACGGCCCAGAGGTTCTGCATCAACTTGGCGTCACTGAATTTCCTGCCTGACAAGAAGGACGGAGGGGATAGCTAAGGACTGACCTGACTTAAGTAATAACCGGACCATTAATATAAATCGAGTGACGTTATTAACAAATTGGAGCCAAGTGGAGCGATTTTTTACCACATTGTTTTTTTTCTTGTTTGCTTGTTTTGTGTGTTGTGCATATCAGTAATCTTTCGAGGCTTTACATTTTGTGAATAAATTTTTTAAAAAATGACGAGTTTTATTCAAGTGAAAAGTGGTAATTATAAAATGATTTATTAATTACCATACACATCTTTCATTGGCAACAATATGCCTTCCAATATACCTTGGCAATCACAATATGAATTTTTCTTTCATAAATACTAGTGCAAAAATACTATAACTAGTTAAATCATCCAGACTAACACGCATTCTTCATCTATAGACCTTCGACAGGCGTTTTACAATATAGTTTCTTTTCCTAATATTTCTTTACAAGTTTTCTCTTAACAAAATATATAACTAAACATAACGAACGTATTAGCTAGATAGAAATAATAAATAAATTTCGAATCAGTAATAGTAAATATAATAAAAAAATGCTACCCCGACGTTAATACAAATCTGGTCGTAAAAACTTTATATAAAAAATCGATAAAATAGGGACTACCGTAGCTACGTAAATCCACTTCAGTCAACCAAGCACTTAAAGCATAAAAAAAGCAACAGAACGAAATCAGCCGCAGCGTTATTGTAGTGAAATTAGGCACACGTCTCCTGTCACTTATACAAACATCAGACCTCTATTAAATGCTTACGTCCCTAATAAAATACGACCCATATAACTAGAACTGCAAGCAAAATCATAAAATATACGATTATATTACATTATTGTTAAAAAAATCGAATGCATTTCTAGTAACATGGGATATAGTCTGTCACGTATATATAATACAAAATAAAAGTCAAAGAACCAACAGGACAATAGCCTGGAGCCTATCGCTAGTGTTGCTTAGCTGCCTCCTTCGCCGCCAGGATGAGCGGCGTCAAGCTAGCCAACGGTCGCGCCAGCTTCAGGAAAGGGTGCTAGAAAAAATCTCGTTACAATGCGGTGCGAAAAAGACGCCCTTCGAGCCGCTCACTTTGAGTAAGTCCCGCGCTGACGACCGTTTGTCGACTTCCACGGCCAGACACTGGTCCAGAAAATCTTGGAAGGCGGGCGATAACTTTTCTTTGTCTTTAATGTCGGGCTTGCCGTTGGTCGCGATGAGATACAGCGCCCTCAAGGGATTCTCGTTCAGGTAAGGCGGCTCGCCCTCGATCATCTCTATGGCCATTATACCCAAGGACCAAACGTCGACCTGCAGACATTTTTGTTTTTTTTTAGAAAACTAGTTGAATGATAGAATTAATTACCTTGGGTCCGTACTGTTTTCGCGTGACGACCTCAGGCGCCATCCAGTACGGGGTTCCGACCATCGTGGTTCGCTTCGATTGTTCGGGACTTATTTGAGCACAAAAACCGAAATCAGCTGTGGACAGAAAAGTTGTGTGATTGTTTTAAATGGGATCGAGGGCGTACTCAGTTTTACGGAGCCGTCGAGTCCGAGTAGAATGTTGTCGGATTTGATGTCCCTGTGGATGACTTGGTTTGAGTGGAGGAAGTCGAGGGCTTGGAGGACTTCTCGACACACAGCCGCTATTTGCCCTTCGTCCATGCACGTTTCTGTTACTACGTCAGTCAGTGAACCGCCTGGTAAATATTCCATCACAACCCAGAGTTCCTGGAAGAACGTACAGTGAGAAGAGAAAAATCTTTTGGGTTATACATTGGTACACAACCAATTATTAAATTAAATTTTATACTCCTCACAGATTTAAAGTACTTAAATACATACTCTTTTGGGTTATACATTGGTATACAACCAATTATTAAATTAATTTTTATACTCCTCACAGATTTAAAGTACTTAAATCCTTCGAAATAAATACATTGCATACATTAAACGTGAAGTGAGATCGTGTTTGTACACTTACTGATAAGAATGTGTACAGGAAGCTGTGATAAAAAAAAACAAGCGCATTCTATATCCTTACTTTCCCTCAATGTTATCGCTTTGTTTAAAATTTCTAGAATTTCTGAGTAATTTCTTTTATATTTTCGTATAAAATTTAAAATTTTCAAATACAATTTTGATTTAATGAAAAAAATAAAGGATCATGTTTTACGAAAATTAATATAATTTTTGCAAACCCAAAACACAATCTTGAACTATTTAGACAGAAATTATCCGTTCCGTAGCCTCTGATGCATTTTAATTTAAACATTTTACGTAGGATTTATTCAGCAAATTTTTGGCGAAACGTCATCAAAATTTCGGTCGGGATGGATTGACGAAATTTATCAAGTTTGCAGGCAAATGATGGACAATTTTCCATTTCAGTGTTGGGATTTTTCAATTTTTGGATTTTTTCATTTTTTAATTTCTCAATTTTCCCATGTTTCGGTTTCACGATTTTTCAATTTTTTGAGATCTCAATTAATTGATTTTTCGACTTTTCGATTTTTCTGTTTTTGATTCTTCAATTTTTCATTTTCCGATATCCCCATTTTTCAATTTTTCGGTACTTTTCTTTCATTTTTCAAATTTCTATTTTTTGATTTACGGAGATTTGCATGTTTTGATTTTTTGGTTCTTCAATTTCTCGATTTTCCAGTTTTTCAATTTTTTACTTCTCGACTTTTCGCCTTTTCGATTTACTAATGTTCGATTTTCCAATATTTCATTTTAATTTAAAAATTTTTCAATTTTTCAGTTTTTTATTTTTCAATTTTTGCGATAATTAAAATTTTAGATTTTCGATTTCTCGAGTTTTAAACTTTCTGATTTCCCGATTTTTCAGTTCTTCGATAATTCTACTTTTCTATTTTTAAATTATTTTTAATTTCAGATCTTTCAATTTTTTAATTTTTTGATTTTTCAATTTTCTATTTTTATTTATTTTTTTTCAATTCAGCTCCTCGATTTTGGCACAGTTTTTCGATTTTTGCGATATTTTAAACGGAGTTTTGATTTTTCGAGTTTTAAATTTTATATTTTGAATTTTTCAATTTTTTCATGATTCTATTCCTTGATTTTTCAGTTCTTCGATATTCTTACTTTTCGATTTTTTAATTTTTACATTTGTCGATGTTTCTAACTTGGCATTTTTCAATATTTCAATGTTTCCATCTTTCGATTTCTCAATTTTTTAGATATTTTTAAATATTAGATTTTTTTTAATTTTACGATTTCTCGATTTTCGATTTTTCAATTTTTCGAATTTTACATTTGAATTTTCAGGTTTTTGATGTTTTTTTTTTTTCGATTTCTCAATTTTCCATTTCCCGATTTATGGAGATTTCCATGTTTCGATTTTTTGATTGTTAAATTTTCCGATTTTTCAGTTTTTCAATTCGTCGATTTTTTGGTTTTTCAATTCTTTGATTTTTCGATTTTTCAATTTTGTATTTGTCGATATCGAGGTTTCCATGTTTAGATTTTTTTTTATTCAATTGCTCGATTTTTTAGTTTTCGAATTTTTAATCTTGGATTTTTCAGTTCTTTGATGTTTCTTTTTCGATTTCTCAATTTTCCATTTCCCGATTTATGGAGATTTCCATGTTTCGATTTTTTGATTGTTAAATTTTCCGATTTTTCAGTTTTTCAATTTGTCAATTTTTTTTTTAATTAAATTTTTCAACTTGAAAATTCTTCTCTACTTTTTAATTCCTCGATCTTTTGATGTTCCGACTTTTTTGTTTTTAATTTTTTTTGACTTTTCGTTTTCGCAATTTTTCGTCATTTTAGTTTTGGACTTTTTCAAATTCTCAGTTTTTTATTTTTCAATTTTTGCGATACATATCTTAAATTTTGGAATTTCTCATTTTTTCGATTCTCAATGTTGGATAATTTTTTAAATTTTAGATTTTCCGATGCCTCGATTTTTCAGTTCTTCGATATTTCTACTTTTCGATTTTTAAATTTTTACGTCTTTCGATGTTTCAATCTTGGCATTTTTCAATATTTCTAATTTTCAATGTTTCCATTTTTCGATATCTCGATTTTTAATTTTTTTCTTAATTTTTGATTTTCCAATTTTTCGTTTTTTTTTAATTTCAATTTCTCGATTTTTCAATTTTCTATTTCTTCATTTATTGAGATTCCCATGTTTCGATTTTTTTTACATTCAAATTTTTAGATTTTTAACTTCTCGATTAGGGCCTAACTCGATTTACCAATTTTTCTACTTCTCGATTTTCCAATTTCTGGTTTTTATTTTTCAATTTTTGCGATATCTGAAATTTTGGATTTTCAATTTTGTGATGTTTCTATTGCTCGATTCTTCAATTTTTCAATGTTAGATATTTTAATTTTTCAATGTTTTAAATTATAAATTTTCTTATTCCTCGATTTTTCAGTTCTTCGATATTTCTACTTTTCGATTTTTTAATTTTTACATTTTACCATGTTTCAATCTTGGCATTTTTCAATGTTTCCATTTTTCGAGATCTCTATTTTTTTTTCAATTTTTCGATTTTTGATTTATTAATTTTCTATTTCTCGATTTATCGACATTCGCCTGTTTCGATTTTTTTTTAATTCAAATTTTTCAGTTTTTAACTTCTCGATTTTGGTCCAATTCGATTTTTCAATTTCTCGATTTTTTGATTGTTCAATTTCTCGATTTTTCAGTTTTTCAATTTATCGATTTTTTTTTAATTTAAATTTTTCAATTTCTCAACTTTCTAATTTCGCCGTTTTTAATTTTTTGACCTTCAGCCTTTTCGAGTCCCAATTTTTGGTCATTTTAGTTTTGGATTTTTTCAATTTTTGAGTTTTTTAATTTTTTGATTTTTCAATTTTTGCGATATTTGAAATTTTGGATTTTCGATTTCTCGGTTTTTCGAGTTTTCAATGTTTCTATTCCTCGATTCTTCAATGTTAGATATTTTAGTTTTTCAATTTTTAGAATTATAAATTTTCCGATTCCTCCATTTTTTTTTAATTTTTGATTTTCCAATTTTTTAAATTTCGATTTTTCTATTTTTCGATTTTTTAATTTTTACATTTTTCGATATATCGATCTTTTGTTTTTTTTTATTTTTGATTTTTCAATTTTTCGTTTTTTTGAAAATTCTATTTCTAGATTTTTCAATTTTTTGATATTTTCTGTTTGATTTTTCAATTTTTAACTTCTCAATTTTAGCCCAATTCAATTCCACAATTTTTCGGTTTTCGATTTTTCAATTTTTCGAATTTTAAAATTTTGGATTTTTCAGTTTTTGGATGTTTCAATTTCTCGTTCTTTCGATTTTTCGACTTCTCGGTTTTAGATATTTTGGGGTTTTGTTTTTTTTTAATTGTTCAATTTCTCGATTTTTCAGTTTTTATTTAAATTTTTCAAATTTTTTCGAATTTGGCATAATTCGATTTTTCAGTTTTCGACTTCTCGACTTTTTAGTTTTTTGACTTTTCGTCTTTTCAATCCCTAATTTTTTGTTTTCTATTGTTCAATTTTTGCGATATTTTAAATTTTGGAGTTTCGATTTCTCTCTTTTTAGAGTTTTAAATTTTTTAATTTTTCGGCAATGTTTGATATTTTAATTTTTCATTTTTTTTTTTAATTTTAAATATTCCAATTCCTCTATTTTTCAGTTCTTCGATATTTCTACTTTTCGATTTTTTAATTTTTACATTTTTCGATTTCAATCTTGGCATTTTTCAATGCTCCATTTGTCGATTCAACGATTTTTGCTTTTTTTTTTAATTTTAAATTTATCAGTTTTTCCTTTTTTTGATATTTCGATTTTCAAAATTTTCGATTTCTCGATCTTTCGATACCTAGGTTTTTGATTTTTCGATTTTTCAATTTTCTATTTCTCGATTTACCGAGACTTCCATGTTTCGATTTTTTGATTATTCAATTTCTCCATTTTTCAATTTTTAACTTCTCCAGCTTTTGATGTTTCGATTTCGCAACTTTTCGTCATTTTAGTTTTGGAATTTTTCAATTTCTCGCTTTTTCGAGTTTTAAATTTTTCAATTTTTCCATGTTTCTATTCTTCGATTCTTCAATTTTTTATTCTTCAATGTTCGATTTTTTAATTTTTATATTTTTCGATATATCGATCTTTTGTTTTTTTTATTTTTGGTTTTTCAATTTTTCGTTTTTTTTTTGAAAATTCGATTTCTAGATTTTTCAATTTTTTGATATTTTCTCTGTTTGATTTTTCAATTTGTCGATTTATTAATTTTCTATTTCTCGATTTATCGAGACTTCCATGTTTCGATTATTTTTTAGTTCAAATTTTTCAATTTTTGACTTCGATTATGGGCTAATTCGATTTCGAAGTTTTTCGTCATTTTAGTTTTGGGATTTTTGAATTTTTCAGTTTTTATTTTTCAATTTGCGATATTTGAGCTTTTGGATTTTTCGATTTTTTGATGTTTCTATTCCTCGATTCTTCAATGTTAGATATATTAGTTTTTCAATTTTTGATTTTTTGATTTTTCGATTTTTTAATTTTCTATTTCTTGATTTACTGAGATTGCCAAGTTCCGATTTTTTTTTCATTCAAATTTTAATTCTCCGTTTATGGCCTAATTCGATTTCGCAATTTTTCGTCATTTTAGTTTTGAAATTTTTCATTTTTCAATTTTTGCGATATTTTAAATTTTGGATTTTCGATTTCTCGGTTTTTCGAGTTTTAAATTTTTCAATTTTTCCGTCTTTCTATTCTTCGATTTTTCAATTTTTTTATTTTTCAATGCTCGATATTTTAATTTTTCGATTTTTAAAATTTTCCGATTCCACGATTTTTCAGTTCTTCGATATCTCGATCTTCGTTTTTTTATTTTTGATTTTTCAATTTTTCGTTTTTTTGAAAATTCGATTTCTAGATTTTTCGATTTATTAATTTTCTATTTCTCGATTTAAATCAAATTTTTCAATTTTTAACTTCTCAATTTTGGCCCCATTCGATTTCTCAATTTTTCAGTTTTTGGATGTTTCGATTTCTCGTTCTCGGTTTTAGATTTTTTAGGTTTTTCGATTTTTTTGATTGTTCAATTTCCCGATTTTTCAGTTTTAATTTGAATTTGGCATAATTCGATTTCTCAGTTTTTCGACTTCTCGACTTTTCAATTTTTTGACTTTTCGCCTTTCAACCCATAATTTTTTGTTTTCAATTGTCCAATTTTTGCGATATTTAAAATTTTGGAGTTTCTATTTCTCGGTTTTTCGAGTTTTAAATTTTTCGATTTTTTTGATGTCTTCACTCCTCGATTCTTCAATTTTTCGATTCTCCAATGTTTGATATTTAAATGTTTTTTTTTTTTATTTTAAATATATCAATTCCTCTATTTTTCAGTTCTTCGAAATTTCTACTTTTCGATTTTTTAATTTTTACATTTTTCGATGTTTCAATCTTGGCAGTTTTCAAATATTTCTATTTTTCAATGCTTCTATTTGTCGATTCAACGATTTTTAGTTTTTTTTTAAGATTTTAAATTTGTCGTTTTTTTAATACCTATTTCGATTTTTCATTTTTTTGATATTTAACTGTTCGATTTTCAAAATTTTAGAATTTTCGTTTCCTCGATGTTTCAGTTCTTCGATTTTTCAATTTTCTATGTCTCGATTTATCGATTTTTTTTTATTACAATTTTTCAATTTTTAACTTCTCGATCTTTTGATGTTTCGATTTCTTGGTTTTTAATTTTTTCACCTTTCGCCTTTTCGAATTTCTAAGTTTCGATTCCCAATTTTTCATTTTAATTTTGGAATTTTTCAGTTTTTTAATTTTTCGATTTTTCAATTTTTGCAATTTTTCGATATCCCGATTTTTATTTATTTTTTAATTCTTGATTTTTCTTTTTTTTACATTTATAAAGTTTTCGATTTTCAAAATTTTAGAATTTTTAAATTTTAGATTTTTCGACTTCTCGGTTTTAGATTTTCAATTTTTCTATTTCTCGATTTATCAAGATTTCGCTGTTGTGATTTCTTTATTGTTCAATTTCTCGGTTTATTCAATTTTTCGATGTTTGGATTTCCCAATTTTTCAATTTTTTAAATTTTAGACTCTCATCAAAAGGTAAAATAATGGCGGATTCATAAACCACACGAATAGAAGCATATCATTTTATGAAATTTAAACAGAATTTAAGTTTCGTTTAACACTGTTTGGACAACGATGGCGTAAATTTAAATTTAGCTGCGTAGAAAATGGAAAACCCAACACTATACACATCCAGCAATTTGTTTTGCAAATATTTTCCCATACGTATTCATGCATCAACCTACACAGTAAAATCAAATATTTGCTATTTTGATATTTACGTAAAAATCCCCCCAAAAAACTAAACCTTATCCACTTACCTCGTTCACAAGATAACTGTCTAGATAATTCACTACGTTCCCGTGCTTATTTTCTCGCATGACTAGAATCTCATTAATAATCAGTTCTTTCTTAGGCTGCTGTGATAAGTTCATTTGTTTGATGGCGACTTCGACACCTGTTGACGTCTCCATCGCCGTGTACACCGTCCCCGACGCACTGCACGCAACAACCAAATGAATAAAAAATAAAAATAAATAAATAAATAAATAAATAAATAAATAAAAATCATCCTGAGGCCGCCCCTGGCCACTCACCCCTGTCCGATTTTGTCTATCTTCGTGTACTTCCGCACCGGGTCCCCGACCGACACGATGCTCCTCAGCTTCTCCAGTATCTCCTCGTCGCTCATCTTTTTCTTCCGCTTCTCCGACGCCGCCCTCGACATCTCGGGGGCCGCTTGGTTCTTGTTCCTGTCGAGGATGGGCGCCGGCGGCGTCGAATTGGCATTGGCGGCATGCGTCGGTGTTGTATGGGCCGGACTTAGGCTGTGAGTAGGCGTCCCGACGCTGTTGTTCGTTATTTGCACGTCTTCTATCGGTTTCGTGTACTGGCGGGAATCAAGCAAGAGTTAGTGGGGGCGGAAGCCGGTAGGAAGAACGGTGGGAGGAGGGTGGGGAATTCGGGGGGTTTAATCCCGCAGTCCTCCCACTGCGCTCAAAATTGGGAAGACCAAGTTTATGAACTTTTTGTTAAAAAAAAATTAAAAACAAAACAAGTTTTTTTTAATGGTAAAAGTTAACAGGCTAAGTTTGGAGCAGGATCTATATAAAAAAATGATCGAAGAACTTTCCTCGCTCCTTTGAAAAATTATTTATTTCCTTTATTTTTTGAATTTATTGATTGGTCGACTTCTAATTTTTTTATTTTCCGTTTTTTTCAATATTAGCTTTGCAATTTTTCTAGTTTTCGTTTTAAATAGGAGTATGTAATAATAATTATAATCATTTTAAAACTATTTCACTTTTGTAATTTTTACAATGTTAGAATTTTTACACTTTGCAATTATTGGATTTTAAAACTTTTCTGTTTATTTATATTCAACTTTTTTCAATTTTTCGATTTTTCAGTGTTCCTATTTCATATACATGACAATTTTTCAATTCCAATTTCTTAAATTTTTTGTTTGATTCTTCAATTTTATGACCTGCAATTCATCGAGTTTTCATTGTTAGATTTCTCAGTTTTTCGATTTTCCACCTTTTTAGACGTTTCAGTTTTTAGATTTTGGAATTTTCGATTTCCAATTTTTCCATTTTTCAATTACAGAGTTTAAAACTTTTTAATTTATTCTACTTTTCAATTTTTTGTGTCAGATTTTTATTTTTTTTATTTTTACAATCTTTCGATTTTTCAGTGTTTCTATTATATATATTTTTTTTCAACTCTAATTTCCTCGATTTTTTGTTTCCTCCATTTTTCGATTTGCAACTTTTCAATGCTTCATTTTTTTTGTTTATTCAAGTTTATGACCTGCAATTAATCAAGTTTTCATTGTTAAATTTTTCAGTTTTTGAATTATACAATTTTCGGTTTTCAAGCTTCAATTTTTTGATTTGCAATTTTTCGAGCTTTTATTTTAAATTTGTAATAGGAGTAATAGTTTTTAAAATATTTCACATTTGAATTTTTCGTTTCTCGTTTATTAAATTTCCGTTTTTCAGTTTTTCGTTTCTTTAGTTTTTCCATGTACAACTTTTCTAGTTTTCGATGTTACAATGTTTCAAATTTTCAATTATTAATTTTTCAATTTCTCGATTTTTATTTTTTTAATTTTACGGTTTTTAAAATTGTTCCATTTATTCGACTTTTCAGTTTCTCGTTTCAGCTTTATATTTTTACAATCTTTCGACTTTTCAATGTCTTTATTTTATTTTTTCAATTAAAATTTCCTCAATTTTTTGTTTCTTCAATTTTATGACCTCCAACTGTTTGAGTTTTTATTTTAAAATGTTTCAGTTTTTGGATTTTGCAATTTTTCTAGTTTTCATTTTAAATATGCAATAATAATTATAATAAATTTTAAACTATTTCAAATTTGCAATTTTTCATAAATTTCTCGTTTTTTAAATTTTTGTTTTTCACTTTTTTGTTTCTTTCATGTTTCCATATGCAGCTTTTTTAGTTTTCCATGTTTCAATTTCGCGATTTTTCATTTTTTAATTTCCATTTTCCGATTATTAATTTTAAAACCTTTTCATTTATTCGACTTTTCAATTTTTCGATTTTTAATTTTTAGTTTCAGCTGTTTATTTTTACAACATTTCGATTTTTCAATGTTCCAATTTTATATCATTTTTTTCAGTTTCAATTTCCTCAATTTTTTTTTTCGGTTTGCAACTTTTCAATTTTTCATTTTTAAATTTTTCAGTCTTTCGATTTTTCGCTTTTTGGATATTTCAGTTTTTAGATTTTGATTTTTTTACTTGCAATTTTCTTAGCTTTCATTTTAAATATGTAATAATAATTATGATATTTTAAAAAATATTTCACATTTGCAATTTTTTATTTATCGTTTTTTAATATTCGTTTTTCGCAGTTTTCTAGTTTTCGATGTTTTAGTTTTTTAGATTTTCAATTAATAGATTTTAAAAGTTTTCCATTTCTTCGGTTTTTCAATTTTTCGTTTCACCTTTTTATTTTATTTTTTTAATTTTTACAACCTTTCTATTTTTCAATGTTTCTGTTTTGTTTTTTTTTCAATTCCAATTTTTTCAATTTTTCTTTTTCTTTTGTTTCTTCAATTTGATGACCTTCATTTCTTCGAGTATTCATTTTTAAAATTTTCAGTTTTTCGATTTTCCGCCTTTTGAGGTTTCACTTTTTAGATTTTGCAATTTTTCGGTTTTCAATTTTTCAACTTTTATTTTTTTTAGTTGCAAGTTTTCTAGTTTTCATTTTAAATATGTATGTAATAATAATTATAATATTTTTTAAAATATTTCACATTTGCAATTTTTCATTTCTCGATTTTTAAACTTTCGTTTCTTTTATTTTTCTATGTACAGGTTTTTTTATTCTAAATTTTGCATGTTTCGATTTCTCGATTTTTCAGTTCTTCGATATTTCTATTTTTCGCTTTTTTGATATTTTAATTGCTCGATTTTTAAAATTTTGGAATTTTGGATTTCTCGATTTTTACGTTGGATTTTTCAATTTTTCCAATTTTTAAATTTTATATTTTTCAGGTTTTTGATATTTCGATTTCTCGAGCTTTCGATTTTTCAGCTTTTTGGTTTTAGATTGTCCGCTTTTTCAATTTTTTGATTTTAAAAATTTTTCAGTTTTGATTTTTAGATTGTTCAATTTCTCGATTTTTCAATTTTTTTGTTTTAATTTTTCAATTTTTAACGTTTTGACTTTCGATTTCCAAATTTTACGTCATTTTCCGATTTTAAACTTTAGATTTCTCGATTTTTAACATTTACGATTTTTAAATGTTCGGTCTTTCAGTTTTTTGATATTCTAATCTTTCAATTTCCTATTTCTAGATTTATCGAGATTTCCATGTTTCGATTTTTTTTAATTTAAAATTTTTACTTCTCGATTTTGGCCTAATTCGTTTTCTCAATTTTTCCATTTCTTCATTTTATAAATTTAAAATTTTTCATTTTTTTTGTTTCTTCAATTTATGACATGCAACTTCGAGCGTTAATTTTTAAAATGTTTCAGTTTTTTAATTTTCCAACTTCTGAATGTTTCAATTTTTCATTTTTTTCGGTTTTCCGATGTTCTGATTCTATATTTTTTGATTTTTTCTTTTTTTTTTCAAAGTGAAATTTATCAATTTTAGATTTTTCAATTTTTCGTTTCCTCAACTTTTGATTTGCAATTTCTCCACTTTTCAGTTATTGGATTTTGGAATTTTTCCATTTATTAGACTTCATTTTTTTTAATTTTTTGATTTGCAACTTTTCGTTCCGGTTTTATTTTCTTTATTTTTTGAATTTTTCGATTTTTCATTGTTCCACTTTTATAATTTTTCTTTTCTTTTTCAATGTGAAATTTTTCAATTTTTCGATTTTTAATTTTTCGTTTCAGATTTTTTTTTTGTATGTCTACAATGTTATGATTTTTCAACGTTCCTAGTTTTTTTTTTCAATTCCGATTTCCTCAATTTTTTGTTTCGTCAATTTTTATTTTTTTTGTTTCTTCAATTTTATGACCTCCAACTCTGAGTTTTAATTTTTTAATTTTTCAGTTTTTCGATTTTCCACTTATTGAATGTTTCAGTTTTTAGATTTTGCAATTTTTCGGTTTTTTAATCGTTAATCTTTTGATTTGCAATTTTTCATTTCTCGTTTTTTAAACTTTTGTTTTTTAGTTTTTCGTTTCTTTCATTTTTCCATGTGCAGTTTTTTTAGTCTTCGATGTTTCAATTTTTCAAATTTTCAATTATTAGATTTTAAGTTTTCCATTTATTCGAATTTTCAATTTTTTATTTTTCCTATTTCATAGTTTGTTTTTTCAATTTCACAAATTTTTATTTTTTTATTTTTTTTTTGTTTCTGCAATTTATGACAATCAATTTTGCATTTTTTTCATTTTTCGGTTTTTCGATGTTCTGATTCTATATATATATATATTTTTTCAAAGTGAAATTTATCAATTTTAGATTTTTCAATTTTTCGTTTCAACTTTTGATTTGCAATTTTTCTAGTTTTCATTTTAAATATGTAATAATAATTATAGTTAAAAAAAATCCCTTTTTCTGTTTTATGATTTTAGAATTTTCCACTTTTCAGTTATCGGATTTTAGAACTTTTCTTTTTCGATTTTTCAATTTTTCGTCATTTCAGTTTTGGAATTTTGTAAATTCTCAATTTTTCAGTTTTTTTTTTCAATTTTTCGATTCATCAATGTTGGATTTCTCGATTTTTCAGTTCTTCGATATTTCTATTTTTCAGTTTTTTAATTATTATATTTTTCGATTTTTCAATTTTTCGCTTTTTTGATATTTTAATTGCTCGATTTTTAAAATTTTAGAATTTTGGATTTCTCGATTTTTCCGTTCTTAGATTTTTCAATTTTTCCAATTTTTTTTATTTTATATTTTTTAGGTTTTTGATATTTCGATTTCTCGGTTTTAGATTGTCCGGTTTTTCAATTTTTTTAATTTTAAAATTTTTCAATATTTTGATTTTTAGATTGTTCAATTTCTCGATTTTTCGATATTTTTTTTGAAATTTTTCAATTTTTAACTTTTTAACTTTCGATTTCCCAATTTTATATCATTTGATTTTTTCAATTTTCCGATTTTAAATTTTAGATTTCTCGATTTTTTACATTTACGATTTTTAAATGTTCGTTCTTTCAGTTTTATGATATTCTAATCTTTCAATTTTTAAATTTAAGAATTTCGATTTTTCAATTTCCTGTTTCTAGATTTACCGAGATTTCCATGTTTCGATTTTTTTTAATTTAAAATTTTTACTTCTCGATTTTGGCCTAATTCGTTTTCTCAATTTTTCCATTTCTTCATTTTATAAATTTAAAATTTTTCTTTTTTTTTGTTTCTTCAATTTATGACATGCAACTTCGAGCCTTAATTTTTAAAATGTTTCAGTTTTTCAATTTTCCAACATCTGAATGTTTCAATTTTTCAATTTTTTCGGTTTTTCGATGTTCTGATTCTATATTTTTTCTTTTTTTTTTCAAAGTGAAATTTATCAATTTTAGATTTTTCAATTTTTCGTTTCTTCAACTTTTGATTTGCAATTTCTCCACTTTCCAGTTATTGGATTTTAGAATTTTTCCATTTATTAGACTTCATTTTTTTAAATTTTTTGATTTGTAACTTTTCGTTCCGGTTTGTATTTTCTTTATTTTTTGAATTTTTCGATTTTTCATTGTTCCACTTTTATAATTTTTCTTTTCTTTTTCAATGTGAAATTCTTCAATTTTTAATTTTTCGTTTCAGATTTTTTTTTGTATTTTTACAATGTTGTGATTTTTCAACGTTCCTACTTTATTTTTTTTTTCAATTCCGATTTCCTCAATTTTTTTTTCGTCAATTTTAATTTTTTTGTTTCTTCAATTTTATGACCTCCAACTTCGAGTTTTAATTTTTTAATTTTTCAGTTTTTCGATTTTCCTCTTATTGAATGTTTCAGTTTTTAGATTTTGCAATTTTTCATTTCTCGTTTTTTAAACTTTTGTTTTTTAGTGTTTCGTATCTTTCATTTTTCCATGTGCAGTTCTTTTAGTCTTCGATGTTTCAACTTTTAATTTTTCCTATTTCATAGTTTGTTTTTTCAATATCACAAATTTAATTTTTTTTATTTTTTTGTTGTTTCTGCAATTTATGACAATCAATTTTGCATTTTTTTCATTTTTCGGTTTTTCTATGTTCTGATTCTATATATTTTTTTTTTCAAATTGAAATTTATCAATTTTAGATTTTTCAATTTTTCGTTTCAACTTTTGATTTGCAATTTTTCTAGTTTTCATTTTAAATTTGTAATAATAATTATAGTTAAAAAAATTCCCTTTTTCTGTTATGATTTTAGAATTTTCCACTTTTAAGTTATCGGATTTTAGAACTTTTCTTTTTCAATTTTTCGTCATTTCAGTTTTGGAATTTTGTAAATTCTCAATTTTTCAGTTTTTTATTTTTCAATTTTTTAAATTTTCGATGTTCCGATTTCTCGATTTTTCAGTTCTTCGATATTTCTATTTTTCGGTTTTTTTAATTATTATATTTCTCGATTTTTCAATTTTTCGCTTTTTTGATATTTTAATTGCTCGATTTTTAAAATTTTAGAATTTTGGATTTCTCAATTTTTCCGTTCTTGGATTTTTCAATTTTTCCAATTTTTATTTTATGTTTTTCGGGTTTTTGATATTTCGATTTCTCGGTTTTAGATTGTTCAATTTCTCGATTTTTCGATTTTTTTTTTAATTTTTCAATTTTTAACTTTTTGGCTTTCGATTTCCCAATTTTATATCATTTGATTTTTCAATTTTCCGATTTTAAATTTTAGATTTCTCGATTTATTACATTTAAGATCTTTAAATGTTCGGTCTTTCAGTTTTTTTAATTCTAATTTTTTAATTTTTAAATTTAACAATTTCGATTTTTCAATTTCCTATTTCTAGATTTACCGAGATTTCCATGTTTCGATTTTTTTTAATTTAAAATTTTTAACTTCTCGATTTTGGCCTAATTCAATTTTCCACTTCATTTTATAGATTTTAAATGTTTCATTTTTTTTTTCCTTCAATTTATGACAGGCAATTTCGAGCCTTAATTTTTAAAAGGTTTCAGTTTTTCAATTTTACAACTTCTGAATGTTTCAATTTTTCATTTTTTTCAAAGTGAAATCGATCAATTTTTCGTTTCTTCAACTTTTGATTTGCAATTTTTCTAGTTTTCATTTTAAATATGTAATAATAATCATAGTTTTTAAAATATTGCCCTTTTTCTCTTCTACGATTTCAAAATTTTCCACTTTTCAATTATTAGAGTTTAGAACTTTTCCATTTATTAGACTTCAATTTTTCATTTCTTCAAATTTTCCATTTGCAATTTCATGAGTTTTGAATTTTTCACTTCTTTAATTTTTCGATTTTCAACTGTTCTTTCGGGTTTTTATTTTCTTTATTTTTTGAATTTTTCGATTTTTCATTGTTCTGCTTTTATAGTTTTTCTTTTCTTTTTCAATGTGAAAATTTTAATTTTTTCAATTTTACGATTTTATAATTTTTCAATTTTTTCAATTCTTACGGAATTTTAAAACTTTTTCATTCATTAGATTTTTCGGTCTTCCAATTTTTCAATTCATCAACTTTTTTCGATTTTCCAATGTTTCAATTTTTCCCGATATTTTAGTAACCGATTTTTCAATTTTTCGATCTTCCAACTTTTCTAATCAAAAAATGGAAAAATTGCCAAACTGGAAAACTGAAACATCAAAATTAAACAAACGAAAAGATTGAAAAATCGAAAGAAACAATAACATAAAGGAAATGAAAGAACAAAAAATTGTAATATAAAATCGAGAAAATGAAAATTAAAAATAAAAATCAAGAACTTGAAACGAAAAATTGAAAAGTTTGAAAGTCGAGAAATTGAAAAAATGGAAAAAATTAAAGTTGAAAAAACGAAAAATTATGAAATGGAAATATTGAGAAATTAAAGAAAACGAAAAATTGTAATATGTTAGCTTACGCTCAGGAAGTGAAAAAGTTGAGGCTACTTTTTTGTTTTTAATTTTTTTTTTCAATATTTGCAAAGTGGTGCTTGCTCTAAGATTAAAGGTGCCACCTTTTGAGTAAAATTCATTAACTTGGGGTTGCCAACTTGACGGACCCTTCAAAATCAAACAGATTATAGCAATCTTACTATATTACTATGTTTAACCACGCCCCCAAAATCGACCAATCACGGCCGAGTACACCCAACAAGTTAAGTTACAAATGTGGCTTGGACGATCACGCCCTCGCTCCATCTATTCGGTGAACGCCCAACCCACTAAAACAAAAACCCAAAACCTGTACTCACGATGCTCTTGGTGCGTTCGGGACGACTGGCGATAGGCGGGGGCGGCGCTTCGTCTTCGATTTCGGAACTGGCGGCGTGCGCTGGGCTGTGGTACGACTGCGGCCCGCCCTCGGCCTCCGTCGGCGTCGTGCTGCTCGGACTCGAACTGGAAACGCGACTCAGCGACGAACCTTCAACACCCCCAAGTTCAAACCCACCACACCCATCAAACACACCAACCACCAACCTGAATGGGTCGCCGTCGTCGTCTTCGTCATGTACTTCGTATTCGGCGGCTCCTTGGTCGTGTTGTCGTACCAGTTCAGCACGTCAAGGACAGCCTGGGGGTTGTTCTTCTGCTCCTGCTTGCTGATGTTGGAGCTCATCAGCAGACGCGACCACGCCTCCGGCATTCCCTATCGACAAAAGAAGACACTTCAGAGTTTGCATGTTGTCGAAACGGTGGAGAGTTCTAATGGAAAACGCTTGCGTTTTCCGAAAAATAAATTAACGAGACGGAGCCGAGGAAAAAGAGTAAACGAGAGGAGAAAATCGTGCGGTATGTACACGTGTTCGATTACACGGAGATGCCGGAATTGAAAGATGTGCAGCGTACATTCATGTGTGAAATCTAATAGGTACACAGATTTTGTGGACACGGGGTGCGGAAATTTCGACGGGATGAGATTGAGAGATTGGTTTAGAGGACGATATGACGACCAACCGAAATTTATTACTTACGAAGACACAAAATGATATTTTCTAAATTATGGCCAACTCTAAACCAGAATGTTTTCGATTGCACGCCAAAAAAAAATCTATAAGTGTAATTTTTTTAATTATTTATTTCGAGGTTATCCTCTATGTTCGAGTTCGTCTGATTTCAATTTATTTGAGTGGCACCGGTTGCACAAATAACAGGAAAAATATGTGTATAACAATCAATGATTCAATGTGCTTAGAAATACGCTCAAATAAACCCGAGTGAGATAAAATCGTGCCAATCACTTTAAAACGTAAGTGAGAATTTTTTACTTTTTACGTCCTGAGGAAGTATTGTAATCTAGTCCATCATGTTTTCTCGACGTTTCGTGACCCCTAGAGTACGAAAAAATAGGTCCTCGTTTTCGTCTGTTCATGTCTCTGTCTATCTGTCCTCGCTCCGGATTTTTAGTAGTTAGGAATATCATGTAGATAAATTTTACAAGAAAATGTTATTTAAATTTTATAAAATAACGTATTCTTCCATTTCTGGTTTATGAATCAGATTTTTGGGGAAAAAATCAAAATTGTAAAAATCTAGTGCCTCGAATTGATGATGTCATAGCACAATTTTGTCGAATAAATGTTAAAAACTAACATGGTCCTGAACTTGTGGTTCGAATTTTCAGCTTTCCGATTTCTCGATTTTCCAACTTTGGATTTATAGTTTTTTTTTGATTTTTCATTTTTTCGATGTTTTAAATTTTACTTTTTTCAATTTTTCTATTTTTTAATATTTTAGTATTTGGGATTTTTCAGTTTTTTTTATTATTCAATTTTTCAATTTCTCTATTCTCCAAATTTTCGATTTCTCAATTTCGATTAATTGATTTTCTCATTTCTCGATTTCTTGACCTTTCGATGTGTCGACTTTTCAGTTCTTCGATTTTTAAAATTTTTCAATTTTTGGATATTTTAATTTTTCGATTTTTTTTGGGTGTTCGATTTTAATTTTTCGGGTTTTGACTATTCAGTTTTTCAGTTTTTCAATATTTCGGCATTTGAATTTTTCAAACTTTAAGTTTTATATATTTTAGTTTTTGCTTTTCTCATTTCTCTATTTCTTGGCTTTTCAATGTTTTGACTTTTCAGTTTTTCGATTCTTCAATTTTTCGATTTCCACATTTATTTTTTCAAATTTTCGACTTTTCGATTCCTCGTCTTTTAGATTTCACGATTTTTTGATTTCTCGTCTTTTCAAGTTTTTTATTTCTCAATTTTTCAAAATTTCAATTTCTGTATTTTTCAATTATTGGATATTTTAATTTTTCGATTTTTTTTTTTGGATTGTTCGATTTTAATTTTTCGGGTTTTGAATTATCGGTTTTTCAATTTTTCGATATTTTGATTTTGCAATTTTTTAACTTCAGAGTTGCGATTTGTCGATTTTTTTCAAATTTTTAAGTTTTAGATTTTTCAGTTTTTGTTTTTCTCATTTCTCGATTTTCACGTTTATTTTTTCAAATTTTCGACCCTTCGATTCCTCGTCTTTTAGATTTAATTCTATGATGTTTTAATTTTTCAATTTATAAAGTTTTTGTTTTCGATTTTTCAGTTCTTCGATTTTTCAATTTTTGGAATTTTCAGTTTTCGATTTTTAAAATTTACATTTTTCGATTTCTCATTTTTCAAGTTTTCGATTTCTTAATTTTTCAAGTTTTCTATTCCTCAATTCTTCAAAATTGCAATTTCTAGATTCTTCAATTTTTGGATATGTTAGTTTTTCTTTTTTTTTGGGTTGTTCGATTTTAATTTTTCGGGTTTTGACTTTTCAATTTTTTTAATTTTAGATTTTTACGTTTTTCTTTTTTTTTTTGATTTACAATTTTCCAATATTTTAATTTTTCAGTTTTTAAATTTTACATTTTTCGACTTCCCAATGTTTCCATATTTTAGTTTTTTGGGATATTTCATTTTTTTTTTATTCAATTTTTCAATTTCTCTTATACTCAATTCTCAATTTCTCTATTCTCCAAATTTTCGTATTGTCGATTTTTTTTTATTTTTGATTTCTCAATTTTACGATATTTCTGTTATGCGATATTTCAATTTTTCGATGCACTGATTTTTTGATTTTTTTATTTCTCGATTTCTTGGACTTTTAATGTTTCAACTTTTCAGTTTTTCAATACTTCAATTTTTCGATTTCCACGTTTATTTTTTCAGATTTTCGACTTTTTGATTTCACAATTTTTCAATTTATCCGTTCTTAAATCTTTTCGAATTTTTGATTTCTCGACTTTTCAAGTTTTTTGTTTTCTCAATTTTTCAAGTTTTCGATTTCCCAATTTTTCAAAATTTCAATTTGTTATGTAATTTCTAGTTTTTTCAATTTTTGGATATTTTAATTTTTCAAATTTTTCAATTTGTGTTTTTTCATGTTTTTTATTTTTCAATTTTTTGATTTTTAATATTCTACATTTTTCGATTTTTTGATGTTTCGATTGCTTGACATCTCGGCTATTCGATTTTTACAATTCTGCGAATTTTGGAAACTTTTGAATTCATGGTTTTTTCAATTTTTGGATATTTTAATTTTTCTATTTTTTGGGTTGTTCGATTCTAATTTTTCAGATTTTGACTTTTGGGTGTTTTTTCGATATTTTAATTTTCAATTTCTTAAATTTTGGATTGTTCGATTTCTCGGCTTTACATTTTTTTTTTTTTTGATTTTTTGATCTTTTCTATTTCTCAATTTTTCAAAATTCCAAATTATGGATTTTTCAATTTTTGGATATTTTAATTTTTCGATTTTTTTGAGTTCGATTTTGAATTCTCGGGTTTTGCCTTTCCGGTTTTCTAATTTTTTCGATATTTTAATTTTTCAGTTTTTGACATTTTGATTTCATGATCTTTAGACTTCTTGGTTTTAGATTTTTCGGTTTTTCTCTGTTCTCCAAATATTCGATTTGTCGATTTTTTTTATTTTTGATTTCTCAATTTTACGATATTTCAGTTATGCGATATTTCAATTTTTCGATTAAACGATTTTTTGATTTTCTCATTTCTCAATTTCTTGGACTTCAATTTTTCGATTTTCACGTTTATTTTTTCAAATTTTCGACTTTTTGATTTCACAATTTTTCAATTTATAAAATTTTCGATTTTTCAATCCCTTCATTCTTCAATTTTTCTAAATTTCAATTTATCGGTTTTTAAATTTTAGATTTTTCAGTTTTTTGTTTTTTCAATTTTTCGATTTTTTAAATTTTACACTTTTCGATTTCTCAATTTTTCAAAATTTCAATTTGTAATGTAATTTCTGTTTTTTTTCAATTTTTGGATATTTTAATTTTTCAATTTTCTAAATTTTAGACTTTTCGGATTTTTAATGTTTGATTTCTCGACCTTTAGACTTCTCGGTTTTAGATTTTTTGGTTTTTCTTTTTTCGATATTTTAATTTTTCAAATTTTTAAATTTGTGATTTTTCAGTTTTTTTATTTTTACCATTTTGCGACTTTTCTATTTTTCAACTTTTCGACTTCTCAATTTTTTAACATTCCAATTTTAGGAACTTTCGAATTTACGGTTTTTTCAATTTTTTGATATTGAAATATCGATTTTTTGGGTTCGATTATAATTTTTCGGATTTTGACTTTTGGGTTTTTGAATTTTTCGATTTTTCATTTTCTCAATGTTGCGATTTCTCGATTTCGACTTCTCGGTTTTACATTTTTCTTTTTTTTTTTTAGATTTTGGCCGATTCGATTTTTCAATTTTTCGATTTTTTTTTTAAATTTAAGATTTTTTTGATATTTAAATGTTTGATTTTTTGATTACTCGATTTTTCAGTTTTAGATTTCTTGATTTCGATTACTGTTTTTTTCTCTTGATTTTTAAAATTTTATATTTTTCGATTATTCAAATTTTAATTTTTTTTTTCAAGTTTCGTTTTCTCAATTTTTCAAGTTTTCGATTTCAATACAGTTTCTGTTTTTTTAAATTTTTGGATATTTTAATTTTTCGATTTTTTGGGTTGTTCGATTTTAATTAATCAATTTTTAAAATTTTTAGTTTTTCAATGTAGCGATTTCTCGATTTTCCAATTTTTCGATTTTCTGAGTGTTCAATTTCTTGATTTACCGATTTTTTATTCTAAATTTTGATGTTTTCGATTTTGGTCGATTCGATTTTTCAATTTTTAATTTTTTTTTAATTTAAGATTTCGACGTCCCGGTTTTACATTTTTCTTTTTTTCAATTTTAAAATTATTGATTTTTTGATTTTTCAGTCTTTCGGTTCTTCAATTTTTCGTTTTTTTTTAATTCAAGATTTTTCGATTTCTCGATTTCGAATTTTCGGTTTTTCTTTTCTTGATTTTTAAAATTTTTTGTTTTATTTTTCGATTTTGAATTTCGATTCAATTTGTCAATTTTTCGTCTTTGCAGTTTTGGAAAATTTTCAATTTTCAGATTTTTAATTTTTCAATTGTTCGATTTCTTGATTTTTCGATTCTTGAATTTTTCTAATTTTTAATTTTTTGATTTTTTTAATTTTACATTTTCAATTTGTTTGGGTTGTTCGATTTTAATTTTTCGAGTTTTGACTTTTCCGTTTTCAATTTTTCGATATTTTAATTTTAGAGTTTCGATTTGTCAATTTTTCAAATTTTTAAATTGTAGATTTTTAAAGTTTTTGTTGTTTCAATTTCTCGATCTTAAGAGTTCCCGGTTTTTCATTTTTCGGTTTTTCTTTTTTCAATTTCTCCAATTTCTTTAATTTTGATTTCTCAATTTTACGATATTTCAGTTATGCGATATCTCAATTTTTCGATTAATTAATTTTTTGATTTTCTCATTTCTCGATTTCTTTACCTTTCAATGTTTCGACTTTTCAGGTTTTTTATTTTTCAAATTTTCGAATTTTTTCTCTTCCTCGACTTTTAAATTTCTCGACTTTTTAGATTTTTCAGTTCTTCGATTCTTCAATTTTTCAGTTTTTAAATTTTAGATTTTTCAGTTTTTTGTTTTTTCAATTGTTCGAACTTTTCAAATTTCAGTTTTTAATGTAATGTGATTTCTGGTTCTTTCGATTTTTGGATATTTTAATTTTTCGATTTTTTGAGTTGTTCGATTTTAATTTTTCGGATTTTGATTGTTGAGTTTTGAATTTTTCGATACTTTAATTTTTCAGTTTTTTAAATTTTAGATTTTTCAGTTTTTTAATGTTTGATTTATCGATCTTTAGACTTCTCGTTTTTTTTTAAATTTTTTGATATTTTAATTTTTCAATTTTTCGAATTTTTAAATTTGTGATTTTTCAGTCATTATTTTTCTATTTTTCGATTTTTTAAATTTCACATATTTCGATTTTTTGATGTTTAGATTTCTTGACATCTCTCTTATTCGATTTATACAATTTTGCGACTTTTCTATTTGTCAACTTTTCGATTTCTCAATTTTTCAACATTTCAATTTTGGAAACTTTTCAATTTTTCGATTTTTTGGGTTGCTTAATTTTAATTTTTCAAATTCTGACTTTTGGGTGTTTCAATTTTTCGATTTTTCAATTTTTTACTGTTGCGATTTCTCAATTTCGACTTCTCGCTTTTACATTTTTCTTTTTTTGATTTTTCAGTTTTTCGGTTTTCCAATTTTTCGTTTTATTGATTGTTTAATTCCCTGATTTATCGATTTTTTATTTAAAATTTTTCAATTTTGATATTCGATTTTTTTTAATTTAAAATTTTCGATTACTCGATTTTTCAGTTTTTTAATGTTGCGATCTCTCTATTTTGACTTCTAGGTTTTACATTATTATTTTTTTGATTTATAAAGTTATGGATTTTTTATTTTTCAGTTTTCCAAGTTTTCGATTTTTTTGATTGTTCAATTTCTTGATTTATCGTCTTTTTTATTTTATATTTTTCAGTTTTGAACTTTTCGATTTGGGCCGATTCGATTTTTCATTTTCGAGGTTTTTCGATCGAATTTTTCGATGTTTTGATGTTTCCATTTCTTATTTTTCAATTTTTCGAATTTATAAAATTTACATTTTTCTCGACTTTTTAAATTTGTAATTTTTGAGCTTTTTTATATTTAAATTTTTCGATTTTTTAACATTTCAATTTTGGGAATTTTTCAATTTTTGGATAGTTTAATTTTTCGAAAAGCAATTTTTCCCGTTGGGTATCTGGAGTACCCGGTGAATTAGGTCGTTTCCAACGTTTTTCCACATTTAAATTTTGGTTACCTTTTCAATTTCTGGATCTTTTGATTTTTGGATATTTCAATTTTTCGATTTTTTCACTTTTCGGACTTCAATTTTTTGATTTTAAAAATTTTTTGTTTTCTTTATTTCCCGGTTCATTGATATTCGGATGTTTCAATTTCGAACATGAACTGAAACTTGGCAAATGTAATCAGAATAAGACAACTGCTACTAACGCCAAAAATATTTTGGTTTAGAGTTGACTCTTTAAGTTGTTTACATAACCTTCTCAAAAAATCTTTTTTTGTTCCTATTAGTGTGAAACTTATTGTTATACCATATATTCACTAGAATTTTCACTAGATATTCAAAACAGGTAGTAGCTACTATTAATTTAACATTAATATATTATGTAGCACTCGAGACGGCTACGTAAACTCAGATGACACTTCTACTAGCACTAATTAGTATTAGTATTACTATTTCATAACATCTCAATTTCAGTTGAAAATATGCCCTCCAACTCCAATGAAACTTCCAACCGGATATCACGAAACTACGACACAACCCATTACCAGACAAACCTCCGATGAGATCCGAATTAATTTACAACAAATTTATGGACTGGAAACTGGGAACTAATGCCAACCCTTCTCCACAAATGTGCTCCCAGTGAATTCTGGGTTTGTGGCGAAAAAATTTAAACCCTTTCCTCTCATGGGGACGTACTCGATCTTGCGAAGCTCATTAAATATTAAACATAATGTACGCGTTGCCAAGTTTTACAAGTGAAGTTATATACGTGAAGCAAGAAATCAGCACACATTAATATGTATTATGAAGATAAGTAAATAAATGTAAAAAGTCTGCCATCGTTAACAATAAACAAAATAAATGGTTGTATTTATTAGTGGCTGTTTTCATGATATCGGCGCAGTTAGGTAAATCGGCTGAGTTGGGTAATTCGGCGCAGTTTGGCACCGTCCTCTTACAATACACTATCAGTGAGAAAAAAAAAAAAACGGAATCTTTTACAGACTTCATTAAACAGTTGAACGTAATTACTTTTTTATTTTATCAAATTTCATAGGTCAATGATCAACAAATAATCCGCTGAACTTCTCAGTTCAGATGCCACGTTAAACTGTGTTCATTGTCGTGTTTTGTATTCAAAGGAAACTTATTTTGTATAAAAAAAAAAAACTTCTAAAAAGATCCTAATTATCTGTTGCAGTTTGCTGAAGAAAACACTTTTTTTGGTCTAGAGAATTTAAAAAATCGAGGCCGATTCATAAACGGTAAGTATAAGAGTACGTAGTACGTCTGCCGAAGAGATAATAGACAGATAGATGGAAACGGCAGACCTATTTTTTCATGCTCTAAAGTCATGAAACACAGAAAACACAAAAGCAACGTTCGCCGAATGGATACTATTACAGTACTTTCCAACTTACGCTCGGAAAGTAAAAAATCAAAAGAAAATAAACGTTTTATTTTGTTGTACTCATTTTAGTCCAGTCAGTGTGCACTTTATTTTTATTTAGGGGTTGTCAATATCCACAGATTTTTATAATTCGATAAGAAATGCATAATAATTTAGGAAGAAACTTTACTTCGACTGCTGAAGAAGAAAGACCAACACATACAAAAAAAAAAAGTTCTAAAATGATTCCCAGATTCCTTTAAAATCTTTCAAGAGCAAAAGACCAAAGTCTCTTTCAAAAACAAAAACACTAGCAGTTCCCAAGATTTAAATTGGGTTTACTTCGCAAAATGTTCACATGACGTCATCAATTTGTTGGTGGGGATGCAAGTAGCAATTAAAACAATACATAGACGTGTAATATTTTGTACACCTAGAGAGGATTTAGCCGGCAAAATTTTGAGATAACGTCATCGAGTTTTTGTTTTGAGATAACGTCATCGAGTTTTTGAAGGGGATAAACAAAATTATGTATTAAGATTTCTGAACATCGGTTTGTTGTTTCTAAGTTAATTGTCAAACCTTGTTTGACTGAAAGTCGAAAAACTCAGAAATCAGAAAATCCAAGTCGAAAGACGCAGAAATCGAAATATCGAAAAATCCAAAAATAGAAAAAACGTGTTCTTTGGCTTTATTGGCTTCAATCTAACGATTTTTCAATTCTAAATAAACAGTTTTTGAATTTTTTTTAATTTTGAATTTTTCAATTTTTAATTTTTCGATTTATGAATTTATCGTTTTTTCGAGTTCTCAATCTTTTAATGTTTCAATTTTTCAATTTTTGCGACCTTTTAAATTTTTCAATTTTTCGGTGTTGTGATTTTTCATTTTCACAATTTTTCGAGATTTAATTTTTTCAATTTTAGATTTTTCGATTTTTCAGTTCTTCAATATCTGTAACTTTCAATTTTTTGCATTTTTAAATTTCTGATTTTTCAGTTTTTTCCGAATCTCGATTTTTTAATTTTTTGTTTTTTCTTTAAATTTCAGCTGTTGAGTTTTTCAATTATTCATTATTTTTTTCGATTGTTGTGTTTCTTCAATTTTTCTTTTTTTCAGATTCTCTATTTTTAATTTTTCGATTTTTCATCTTTTGAATTTTCCAATTTTTCAATACCCATTTAGATATTTTAATTTTTCATTCCTTTAATTTCTCAATTTTTCACATTTTGAATTTTTTATTTATTATTCTTTCGATTTTTAACATTCTCGATTTTCAATTTGTTGTTACTCATGTTTCCAATTTGTCAATTTTTCGATTTCTCAATTTTTCATTTCTTCCTTTCGATGTTTAGATTTCCTGATTAATTGAAGTTTTGATTTTCTCATTTCTGGATGTTTCGATTTCTCAGTTTTTTTCCGTTCTAGGATTTTTCAATTTTTTATTTTTTCGATTTCTTGATCTTTCAATTTTTCGACTTCTCGGTTTTAGATTTTTCGGTTTTTCAATTTTTCAATTTTACTATTTCTCGGTTTATTGAGATTTCGATGTTTCGATTTCTTGATACTTCAATTTTTTAATTTTTGTGATCTTTTTTAAATTTTCCATTCCATTTTTTTAGTTCGATGATATTTTTATTTTTCAATTTTTCGAATTTTTAAATCTTACATTTTTCAGTTTTTTGTTTCGATTTTTCAATTTTTCAGTTCTTCGATTTTTCAATTTTTCTATTTCTCGATTTATTGAGATTTCGATGTTCCGAATTTATGATTGTTCAATTTTCCGATTTTTAAATCTTTGGATTTTTCAAGTTTTCGATCGTTTGATGTTTCGATTTTTTAATTTTTGAGATCTTTTAAATTTTGGATTTTTCGTTTTTTAAATTTTTCGAGAATGAAATTTTTAATTTTTTTAAATTTTAGGTTTTTCGATTTTTCACTTCCTCCATATTTCTAGTTTTCAATTTTTCGAATTTTTCAACTTTAGATTTTTCAGTTTTTGATGTTTCGATTTCTTGATTTTTCGACTTCTCAAGTTTTAGGTTCTTCGATTTTTCAATTTTGAATTTTTCAATTTTTAACTTTTCGATTTATGAATTTGTCGTTTTTTTCGAATTCTCGATCTTTTAATGTTTCGATGTCTCGGTATTGTGATTTTTCGTTTTTACAATTTTTCGAGATTTAATTTTTCATTTTTAGATTTTTCGATTTTTCAGTTCTTCCATATCTCTAACTTTCAATTTTTTGCATTTTTAAATTTCTGACTTCAGTTTTTCCGAATTTCAATTTTTTAATTTTTTGTTTTTTCTTTAAATTTTAGCCGTTGAATTTTTCAATTTTTCATTATTTTTTTCCATTATTGTGTTGTGTTTCTTAAATTTTTCTTTCTTTCAATATTTAGATATTTTAATTTTTCATTTCTTCAATTTTTCGATTTTTCATGTTTTGAATCTTTCATTTCGTTTTTTTCCGATTTTTCAGATTTTCGATTTTCAATTTTTTGTTTATCTTTCCAATTTGTCAATTTTTCATTTCTTCTTTTCAATGTCTCAATTTTCCATTTTTCAGTTCCTCAATTTTTCAAATGTTGACGTTTCTAAACTTTTGATTTTTTCATTTCTGGATTTTTCAACTTTTTAACGTTTCGATTTTTCAGTTTTTCCATTTTTCGATATTTCACTTTTAGGATTTACCAATTTTTCAATTTTTTATTTTTTCGATTTTTAAATTTTTAATTCAATTTTTCGATTTCATGATTTCAATTTTTCGAATTTTTAAATTTCAGATTTTTCAGTTATTTTTCTTGATCTTTCGGTTTGTCGACTTCTCGGTTTTAGAATTTTCGGTTTTTCAATTTTTCAGTTCTTCGATTTATTGAGATTTCGATGTTTCAATTTTAGGATTATTCAATTTCCTGATTTTTCAATTTTTGGATTTTTTTTCTAATTTTGAATTGAACTATTTTTCGAGCTCTCGATCTTTTGATGTTTCAATTTTTGAATTTTTCGATGCTTCGACTTTCCGATTTTTCAACTTTTGCGACCTTTTAAATTTTAAAATTTTCGATTTTTGAATTCTCAATTTTCCGATGTTGCGATTTTAGGTTTTTTTTCAATTTTGCCAGATTTAAATTTTTCAATTTTTTTAATTTTTCGATTTTTCGATTTAGCAGTTCTTCGATATTTCTATTTTTCAATTTTCCACATTTAAGTTTTTTGAGGATCTCGATTTTCTAGTTTTTTATTATTCATCTTTCCAATTTGTCATTTTTTCCATTTTTCAGTTCCTCGTATTTTTCAAAATTTGACGTTTCTAAATTTTCAATTTTCCGATTTCTCAATTTCCGTTTTTGATTTTCTCATTTCTCGATTTCTCGACTTTTTAATGTTTCGATTTTTCAATTCTTGGATTTTTCGACTCGGGATTTTTCAAATTTTCTTGCGTTATTGAATTTTTCGATTTTTCAACTACCTCGGTGTTATTAGATTATTCGGTTTTTTAATTTTTTAAGTTTTTCGATTTTTCGATTTTATGAGTGATTGTTCAATTTCCCGATTTTTCAATTTTTGGATTTTTTTTAATTTAGAATTTTTTAATTTTAAACTCTTCGATCTTTGAATTTATCAATTTTTTTCGATGCTGCAATTTTTTTTTTCAATTATTCGAGATCTAAATTTTTCAATTTTAGATTTCTCGTTTTTTCTCTTTCGATATTTGTTTCAATTTTTCGCATTTTAATAAATTTCTGACTTTTCAGTTTTTTTCAGAATATCGATTTTTAAAATTCTTGTTTTTTCTTAAAATTTCAGCTGTTGAATTTTTCAATTTTTCATTATTTCTTTGGAATAGTTATTGTGTTGTGTTTAATATTTTAATTTTTCATTTCTTCTTTTATCGATTTTTCAGATTTTCGAATTTCCCGATTAAGTGATTTTTTTATTTTCTCATTTCTCGACTTTTTATTGTTTCCAATATTTCAATTATTATTTTTTCGATTTTAAAATTTTTAATTTTTCAATTTTTTTGATTCCTTAATGTTTCGATTTCTCGATTGTTTAATTTTTCGAATTTTTCAATTTTAGATTTTTCAGTTTTTTCTTGATCACTC